GCTGTCTTTTTGTGTGCAAGTGTTGGGCTTCTCTATTCTGTCGTATGCTCTACAGCTAAATTCCTTGTATCTCGGCTACAAGATCTAGTTTGGTTGTGAGGTCAAAAATTAACATCCACAATTTGCATCGTCTGTGGGAACTTGGTCGGAGTAGATGACCAACATCAAGCAATGTAACGCCCCAAAAATTATGACACCATTAAAGTAAATCAACCAACGCCCATTATAAGAAAGGAGTATTTCTCCAACCTTTGCTTACATGATCATGAGGTTCATACAAAATAATCCCACATGCGGGTATACATTCAATGATTTCCTAATACATGAATCTAAAGCATGTAGGATATTCAATCCAAAAAATAAATAAATAAATGCCCTCAAGGGCTCACAAATTTCAAGGCTTAAGCCTGGTTACACAAAAGATGGTTTCTCGAACCCATACATAGTTAGCCCTTGGCTTGCAAAAATACAATCACAACAAAATATAGAGCTTTGTGCTCTCAATACATACATCCATGCCCTAGTTTGGCAGGTTCACCATGTCTTTTCTTAGCACCAAAATTCCATAGGGTGAGCATAAAGCCCAGTTGGAAATTCTTAACAAAGTATATATATTTTATACAAGCTTCATCAAATGAAATAAAAATGCCATGCTATGTCATGCCTTTGAAAAAAAATCATATTTTATGTCTTTTGAAAACCATCATGCTCAATGATAGCTTGAAACCTCAATAATTCAAAAATTTATCAATTTAGTTCAAGGGGCAGTAAATACGATTCAGGTTATCCCTAGGTTGGTGTTTGCAAGTAGGCATAACTAGCGCTACCAAAACTCCACTTTACCGGTTGCTAACTGTAAGGGAAGTGGTACCTCCTCCGTACGTGTTTTCGATTTTTCACCCCGGACACTCAGGCCAACTTAATCAATCTCATCTACACCCCTTTATCCGGACTTACTAACGTATTTACCCCAAAAGAATTCCATGAGAAGTTTATTTATAAACCTTCTTTTCTCAATGCAAAAGTTTCCAATTCAATTCAAAATTTACCATAATCAAATGAATTGAGATGAAAATGCAACAATCATCAATGCAATGCAATATCCCTTCCATTTACAATTTCATCCCATGATTCAACCATGAAGACCAATATCACCAATTTCCTCATTTCCAATGTGATTTCACAAGATAACCATCTATCTATTCAAATTCATAAAAAATAACAATATTTCCACATTTCTCGTATGCTCAACAAATTTGTCATTTCAAGACTAAAACAAAATTTGAATAACCACTTCCAATACCAACAACTTTCATGTTTCATGAAACTCATCATCATCAGATATATATAAGAAATTTCCTCATCCTTTACTCTTTTTGGCACACAAAATAGTATTTATACAATGTCAACCATGTATTCTCAACATATTTTAAAAACTCCTAAATTCTAGGTTTTTCTCACCACAACAACACACACACCCAAATCACTTGTAAGAATTTCTTCAAAAACAACTTTTTCTTAATCAATGTAATTCAAGGTCCTCAAGAAATTATTTCAAAAGAAGCATGACACCAAATCCACTCCCAAACTACCCACATTGTTGAAACAACATCAAGTTTTCAATATTAACAAAGGAGACTTCAAAATCAACAAAATCTTGCGAAAATATATATATATATAACTCTAAGAAAATCCCTATCTCAAGTTTGGAGAAGAAAATGAGATGAAACCCCCGAAATCAACGGTGACAAAACCCAATCTCCACCGCACACAATGTAGCTCTTGCTTAGCTCTCCACTATTTGTGAAGGATGATAGCTCAAAACCCCAATGGATTGGGAGAAGTCAAGGGCTTAAGATGTTTGGTGGAGGTTTTTAGAGAGGAGTAAAAGTTGATTTTAGAGTGAGAGAGAGATATACAAAAGTGATATACACTCAGCCTAAGAATAGGAAAAAAGTTGAATTTCGGACACAGACCGTCCCGCACGTGCGGCACTCATCCCTGCACGTGCAGAGCATGCCTCCCGCACGTGCGGCCCTCAGCCCCGCACATGTAGCTCTCCCATTCCCACTACAAGAAATTGCACTTTTGGCAACTACTTTTGGCAATGACGTCAATTTTTCATTGCCAAAAGTATATTTTTGGCGACACAGTGATCAATTTCGTTGGTAAAAGTATACCTTTACCAACGCAATTTGCTATCGTCGCTAAAAAAGCATAACATTCTTTTAGCGCCAAAATTTTTGGTTGGCGCCAAAATTTCAGAACTTTTAGCTACGAGACTTATGTTTTAACAACACAATGAGCGTTGCTATTAGTGTCCATACTTTTGGCGATGACAAGTTGGCGTGGGCAAAGAGTTAACCATTTAGCGACGATAACACTATTCATCGGTAAAAGTTTTGCTAGTGGAATGATGTGATTTAGTGATTTGTATTTTTTATTACAATTTTTCAAAAAGTTTTAAATATTCGAATTACTGAATTATAAAATTAAAATGATCATTGAATTAGATCACAAAATGAACGGATTAACACTACAACAAAACTAAGTTTTTACGGCTTCATATCAACGACATACAGCAAATGCAAGCCCTGGTTTCTCATTTTTACGATTTACTTTTTTTGCATGTCGTAAATAATTTTCCAATCACGACATGTCTATTGCGTAGGTCGTGAATGCTAATAATGATGATTTTTTACGACTTGCAATGTTAGTCGTAAATAATAAAATTTTTTATGACATGCATATAGCATGCCGTTAATAGATTAACTATACACGACACACGTATGCTAGTTGTTAAATATATTTCACTTTTTACGGCGCATAATTTATGTCATGAATAATATGAAAAAAACATAGACGCCAAAGTAAAAAAAAAAAAAATTAGGCGCCAAACACTAAAATACATATTTAAAAAAAAAGTCAAATACATTCAACTCTTGGGCTTTTTATAATCAAAAGAACTAGGGTTCGTCAAAAGGCAGAGAGTGACTGACCGTAACCCTTGCTCCACCATTATTGCTCTTTTTGTAGTGAGAAACAAAGGCAAAGGCAAAATCAAAAGCCCCATCACAATTTTGAACCATCGAATTGCCTTCCTCTAAATCCCTCAAATGCGTCCATCAATCGCTTACTTTATAGTTTTTCCAGTCGACAAGATGACCGAATCGACATGTCGAAGTACCGAGAAGCTTTTGCGAAGAGGATGGCCACGGCTGGTGTCAAATCTCATCACCGTATCGGTCTCTCTCTCCATACTCTCTTCTATTTGTTTGAGTCTTTTTTTTTTCCACAAATATTTAGATTTGTTGGAGTTTATTTGTTTTCATTTTCATGGGTGAATTGGATTCTGGACTGTTAAATTTCACCAATCGTTGGGCTGATGTTGATGACTAGGGCTATTTGTGTTGTCTAGGCTGTCTCCGTACTGTGCTGCCTCTGTGTTTGTTGAATTGGCCTTTTGTGGCTTGTTTCTCTCATTTGCTGGTTGTAGTTTTCTTTTTGTTGTTGGTTGCTTTGTGTAAGACCCCTATCCTCTACTGGACATGGTTCTTGAACAATATTTTGTTCGGTTTGCTCTGTGTGGTGCCTATGCTCAATGAAGATGGTTGAAGGCAGGTTTTGTTAGATAGTTTGTTAATTTTTTTCCCTTGTTTTAGATGTTTTTTTTGTTGGCTGTTGTTGTGTGGCTTTGCTTCCGTGGTTTCGTTACATGTGGCTTCTTAGCTGTTGTGTTGTGTGGGTAGGGCCTGGGGCATGCCCCTTGTAAACTTGTAAATTTTTCTGTTCTATTTTATGTCTTGTTCACCCAATTTTTTTTTTTCACCAATTGAAGCCAATTAGTTGTTCGCATTAGGCAATACCAGTGAGATTTTACTTCATTCTTTCCAAATGACCTAAATATGAGCAAATATCAAAATGAGGAATCAGTAAAAATTGAGTATTTTCCTCAGCTACTCCATTTGGTAATTGGGAAACAAAGGATAGTCTATAAAAACCAAATCTTGAATCTTTTTTTTCTTCTATATTTTCTGAAATAATTTTTAGCTTTCACTGTGAATATTTCTTCTCCTCCTAAGTAGTTGCAACCTACAAGGCAGTTCTATTATATTGAACAATTCTTGACCAAGATGAAATCATATTTTCAGATTCTAACTGCTCCAAATTTTTCTATTTAATATGAGCATTGCAATACTTCCATTGTCACAGGAGTTTAACTGAAACAGTGCAACAGTTGGTCTCATTCACTCTTCCTTTTTCTGGGGCTATTCTCTCACTCAGATTGACTCAAACATTGGCAGTTTTATTGCAATACTTCCAATGTCACAGGAGTTTAATTGGAACAGTGCAACAGTTGGTCTCATTCACTTTTCCTTTTTCTAGGGCTATCTCCTCACTCAGGTTGACTCAAACATTGGCAATTTTTGCTTTTTAGAAAAGGAAATTTTAGAATTTATGTTAAACTCCATAAAAGTGCTTTTTCTAACTTCCACCACCCACATATATGGTTCTAAGGGGTTTAAAATTGTTATTTTTTTTTTCACTAACTCAGAACTAGCAATTGGTTCTAATCTTCAAATGTCATTTATATGTTGTATCAACCCTGATACTTGGACTTTTAGAATTGTAATGCAGATATATCTAGCGTGCACACACATACTCACACTACCCTTCTTGTTTATCACCTATAGTGGGTCTTGGTCCTTTTATCTAGGAACAATTAACTGTCACGATTTTGAATCTGTATGTCTCTGGCTGTCATCATCTAAGCTAGTGGTTGAAATTGTAATCCACATACTTTGGTGATTGTACATTTGAAATAGTGATCAACTCTTCATTGCTCTTGATGAGATATTGTCTTTCCATGTAATTTTTTGTTTTATTGAAGGTCAAAACTTAATTCTTGCCATCCTTCTTTACTAACTGCATTTTGTTTATATTTCTTTGGCAAATAGATTCTTGGAGATATCTGGGCAGATAAAATTAGTGGGAAACTAGTATTGGGTTTTGGAGTGATCTGGTGGTCAGCTACAACAGTTTTGACACCTATTGCTGCCAGAGTTGGGCTTCCTTTCTTGCTTGTCATGTCTGCCTTTATGGGGATTGGTGAGGTTAGCCTATTCTTATGCTCCTTTGAGGTGCTTTTATGGTTTACTGGACTATGATGAGCTTCACATTCCCGCGTTTCATCCTTCAATTTGGGGTTTCTTCCAAGTCCTCTTCAACCATCTCCAGAAACCATGGTTTTTTTGTCTTCTCCACCAACAAAAGAAGATATAGTACACCTAAACCCTTATTGACTCAACAGGTAACAAATTTTTACAAACCTAAATGTATGCATGAGTGACTACATACGTATACACAAACAAATTCAGAGGATTGTGAGTTTTGTTTCTGACTTGTGTATCTGTATATTAATCAGTGGGTAGTCAAGTGAAGCAGAGTTACTGGTGGTGGTTGGCGGTGGAGCAGCAGGAATTTATGGAGCAATTAGGGCTAAAACCATTGCACCAAATCTGAATGTGGTTGTTATTGAAAAGGGGAAGCCCTTGTCAAAGGTTTGTATTGTTTTTGGAGTGTATATATTTGGGTTATTGTGCATAGTTAGATAATTAGAACACTATTGAATTTTTTGTGTAACTTAAAACAATATTCATTTGTTCAGTTAGTAAATTATATGTGTTTGTAATTTTGCTGAAGTAAATGATTTTCTATTTGGAAGTTTAAAATTTCTGGAGGTGGCCGATGCAATGTGACAAATGGGCATTGTAGTGACAATTTGGTGAGCATTTTTATGTTTCAAATTTACTATGTCTACACATGCATTTCTGTAATGTGAATTTGTTATTTAATGAGACCATTATGGTTATAACTAATTCTTGAACATCATATAGTTCTTTGAGTTTAATAATGGGGCTAGAGTCCTTTTGATTTTAAAAAAATATCATTTTGGCTTATATGTAGTCCATGCCACCAAAGTAATTTTGTGAAGCCTGTTTGTATTACTTGATATGTATAAAGAATAAACATTTGTTATCTTGTTGAGGACTTTAGCCAAGCACTCCATGCTTTGTCCAGTTTTTGATCAGCTCTTATATGGTGGGTTGAAATCTCACTTGATGGCAGTTTTGCCCTTGATTGAAAGGAAAAATGTCTGCTGCATTTGACTTTCTTAAAGTGATTCAACTGATATCAAACACTTGTTCTATTTTTTTTTTGCTGACTTGATCAATATCTGGATCCTGTGTTAGTATTGTATTCTCAATTTTTATTTATCAATTTTATTTATTTATTTTTATTGTAATCTCAATTTCTCTCGTGCCATAATCTTAAGGCTATATGTTTTATATATAGAGATTACTCAGCTTGTCATTGTTTTCTTTGACGTGGAATAAGATGTACATCAGTGGGAAGAGTGTAGAAAATCATTACTGCGAGATCCTGGGCTCCCCAGTTCTAGCTTTGGATTTTCATATGGGTTTCTCACACTAGAAGTTATGACATTTTTTGGCCCATGTTGGGCTTTGGTGGAGTATCTTTAAATTGAAGTAGCTATGATTAAGACAAAAAGGAAATTAAATAATCCAATGATTTTTTTGAATATTCTTGACTTTGAAGTTCCCCTGCTATCTTACATGCTAAATGAAACCAAAATACAAAATAATTTCACTAAATAGCTTGTTTTAATTGCATGGATTGAACTCAATCTGCCCTCTTTAGTTGCCTTTGTGTATATATATTTTAATTTCTGTAAATAAAGTATTCAGTTTAGCTGAAGTGTCTTACATAATCATATGATGTTCATAATGCTGACTTTCTGAATAGATTTTGGCAGAACATTATCCTAGGGGTAATAAGGAACTAGGCTCTTTCTTCAGTATGCATGGTCCCAAGGATACCGTGTCCTGGTTTTCTGATCTTGGGGTGAAACTGAAGGTCATCTAGAAACTACACACTTTTGCTTTCTTTCTTCTATTTCATTTATGCTGTTAATGTTTTCTTTTACAATATCATGAATTGGCTTCAGCCATTTATGCTTAGAATCAAGTGTTACCATTCTGGTGTCAGATTGAGGATGATGGAAGGGTATTTCCAGTCAGTAACAACTCATCTTCTGTAGTCGATTGCCTTTTGTCAGAAGCAAAGCAAAGGGGAGGTATGTATTTGTATTAACTATTGCATGTACCGTCTGTGTACTTCTCTTACTATATTTATTTTCATAGTTCAATTTATTTAGCTTTTTCGGTAGATGCTGTTTGGACCCTTTTTTCCACCAAACCACAGTCAACCAATCCTAACATATGAGTTAATTTAAAGGTTTGAATTGTCAGATGGTTAGGTTTCCTAATCAGGCACTTTGATAATACCTTTCTTAAGGCAGCCATTGGTGCCAAGTTCAAATATTGCATATAAATTCTATTATTTAGCGTTAATATACATACATATATTAGTGAATGTGAAAGATGAAACTCATCATGGAATACGTGTATTTTTTTTTGTTTGGTGCGACTTACTGGGGTTGCTTTGATTTTTAGTTATTTATATTTTTGAAAATTTGTGGCAACATAGGTCCACAATTGATTGTTGCGGCATGGGAAACAACAAGGACTATCTGTTTAGTAATTGATTGGTGATATGAGTCACGTGGTGTCCCTAGAGCATCAAATAATTTTCCAAGATGAACATTACCATGTTCACAGGAGGTTAGAGACTGGCAATTATGTGCTCTTGATGTCAATAGTTGCTTGATTTTGAGAATTATTAGTGGGGTCTAATTGTCACCATCCTGATTTTTTCAAATCATTGTTGTAGCTTTAGCAAAGATGCATGCACTCATCATGGTTGATTGAAGACAAGCAATTGGACAATTCAACAGCTTAAAATGCTGAAAAGAATAAGAAAAATGATTGGTAGGTTAAATTTGAGTTTGTCTCAAAGTCTGAATTTGTGTTTGCCGGTTGATCGTTTGGTTGACAGGTGAAATATTTGTCTACCGCGGTTGTTACCCAGCACTGGTGGCTAATGGTTGTTGCTTGTTGGTCTGCTGTTACTGCTGCTGGTGTGCTGTTGCAGAATTTTGCTGGGCTGCTGCTGCTGTAACTTTGCTGTGAAGTGGGCTGCTACTAGATACTGGTCTGCTGCAAATTTGGGGGGTTGTTAGTTTCATGTTTTCATTTTATTATCTGTTGTTTTTACTATGGGTTCACAATCTGGATGTATTTGAGTATTTTAGTGAGTTTACCCTTTCAGGTTTTATACACCGCTTCCAAAAGCATGTTTTTTAGCAGTGTTTTTTTGCCTACACATACTCTTTAGGTGATTTAATATCAATGTTATTAGAATGTAATAGTAGTGCCCGAGGGATGCCTCTTGTAAATATGTAAATCTTATAAAAAAAATATAAATGATTTTCAATTTTTTCTGCCGCTACAAATTTGTCGTTTCCAAAAAGTAAAGCTTTCTTGACAAACAACTTGTCGGTAAATGTGTAGCCAAAAGTTTATTTTTGCCCACTCATATTTTGTTGCTAAAAGTGTATTTTTTGCCAATGTCAATTTGTTGTTGCCAAAAGTAAAGCTTTTTCGACAACCAAATCGTTGGCAAATGGAAACATTTACCGACGTAAATGTGTCGCCAAAAGTTTACTTTTGCCGACGCATATTTTGTTGCTAAAAGTATATCTTTTGCCCATGTAAATTTGTGTTGCGAAAAGTGCCACACAATCATCATATTTGAATGACTTTTACTAACGCAAGGTAAATTGCCGACGATGGATGAAGGCTTTTATCGACGACTATGTTCGTCGCTAAAGGCATTACTTTTACCAATGCAATGATAACTTCGTCGGCAAAAATTTTTGCCGACTCACTTTTGCCTACGGGTTGCCAACGTAGCTTTGTGTGTCGGCAAAACTCTTTGCCAACGAATTTTCCCTTTTAGCAACATATTTTGTTGCGTTGCGAAAAATGCAATTTCTTGTAGTGTCCGCACCTCCTCCCGCACCTGCATATAATGCAGTGACCAACCCAAAGCTTCCATTGTTTTCCGCACGTGCGGCCTCCTTTCTGTACGTGCAGCCTAAGGCCTTGCACATGCGGGTCAGCTCTCTAGCCAGGAAATATTCCAGCTCGACACCGAATGCTTTGGACTCAACCTCGCACCCTTCCGAAATGAGAGAAACGTTACACAGAAGAAAATAAAAGCAAGGGCTTGAAACAAACTTCCAAATATGACAAACCCAAACCGTTAGCAAGGTTCCCGGTTAAACCCGACACTTTAATAAAGGCAAACCCAAGGTTAAAAGAAAAGGATCGAGATAATTAATGCACCCAGTCATCACAAGCAAGGAGGCCGAGAAGGATCATCTTGATTCTTGGTTCTTGGTTTTTGATAAGTGGACATTTGAGTCATTGTTTCTTGAAGCCAATAAGTCTTGATCTCGGTCGGAGGAGTATCTCTAGCATGTTGTTTAGTCGACATGTTAGGAGATCAGACAATATAAGTTCCATCACCTCAGGTTGCCGAGGTAATAGAACCTAGGGGAAAGTTGTGGGGACATTTTTTGGGTTGTCCACGTGGCCGAGGTTGTTAGCCAAGGTGCCACGTCCATGGACCAAGTCGCCAAAATATGATGTGATCATATCTGAATCTGAAATATTCGGATAAAGGAGAAAAGTCCTAAATGGTTTCAGGCTCTTTGTTTGGATAAAGATAAGACTCTTAAGGGAGTCAATTCTAATCTGAATAAGAGTCGTCCTAGATAAGTGTTATCCTTGTAAAGGATATAATCCTATGAAGTAAGATTTCTAAGAGGCTAGGACACTGTTCATTATAAAAAAAAAAGGTACCTCCGTAGGTCAAAGGTATGTTTTTTTTTTTTTTTTTTTTTTTTTGGGACTACCGTGATTGACTTGTTATCTTTGAGAGAAAAGTTTGTTGACTAGTGCCTCTGAGTTGATAAGCCACTGGTGTTTGCTGTCTAGGTGTTGGGTTTCTCTATTCGTTCGTGTGCTCTATGGCTATGTTCCTTAGATCTCGGCTATGAGATCTAGTTTGGTTGTGAGGTCAAAAATCAACATCCACAGATGTGATGTAAGTCCCCCAAATATTTGAAATGTCTCTAGCTGTAAAAATAAATAATGAAAAGGTTAATAGCAAAAAAAAAAAAAAAACTCCAGGGTTTCGCATGTTTTCAATTTAAACCCTAGAGTTTCAAATTAAATGCTGGAGTTTCATCCGTGTTTCAATGTGAATCCTCCGCCCATCTTTGTCTTCTTCCTTCTTTTAGATTCAAACCCATCTGTTCAAACCCTTATATCTTCCTCGTCATAACCTCGTTTCGTCTCATTTTCGCGTCGTTGGATTCACTTCATAGCCTAGTTTTATTCCACCTCTTTGTGTGTGTCGTCAGAGCTCCGAAACTTGGCAAAAAAGAAGATTTTTCTCTCTTTTTATGATTTCTCTCTTTGGGCAAAATTTTTAGATTCAAACCCACATGTTGAAGCCCTTGTATCTCCCTCTTGTAACTCCGTTTCAACTTATTTTTGCGTCGTTGGATTCATCTCATGGCCTAATTTTCAAAATGATATGGAACAAGACATATAAGGGGTGGAATAAAAACTAGGCCTTGAGTTGAATCTAATGACATGAAAATGAGGTGAAATGGAATTAAGACGAGATATGTACAAGGGTTTGAACATGTAGATTTGAATCTAAAAATTTGGCCCGAAGAGAGAAAAATCTTATTTTTGGCCAACTTTCGTAGTTCCGACGACACGTAAAAAAAGGTGGAACAAGGCGTATGAGAGGTGGAATGAAAACTAGGCTATGAGGTGAATCCAATGACGCAAAAATGAAGCAAAATGGAGTCACGACGAGAGATATACAAATATTTGAACATGTGGATTTGAATTTGAAATTCTACTCAAATTTTCTTAGTTTAATATGACAAAAATGGATAGATAGATCAGATTAATACGAATAAAACTCTAAAATTTAAATTAAAAAACAAATAAAATCCTAATTTTTTTTTAAGTAACCCAAAATTAAAATAACTAATTTCCAAACCAACCACCCAACCTTGAGTATAATTATAGATGTTAAAAAAATAAAAAAATACTAAAGTAAGAATGGCGTAAAATGGAGGCTACAGTGGCACTGCTCTGACTTTCTCCACGAAGAAGCAACGCAAAAGCCCCCAATATAAATTGCGTTGTGATTGTGAAGCAAGCAAACACAAACAACAATCCCATAGATTTGTCGATATGGGCGATGGAATATCGACAAAACTTCCGATTCCGGGAAAGCGAAACATTCTCATCACTAGCGCCTTGCCTTATGTCAACAACGTCCCTCATCTCGGCAACATCATCGGCAGTAAATAAATTCTCTTTCTATGCATATATATATATATATACAAATGACACTTGTTTTTGTTCGTGTGTAATTTGATTTGATTACACTCTGTTTGTTTGTACCTATTTGAAAGGTGTTTTGAGTGCTGATGTGTTCGCACGGTACTGCCGACTTCGAAGTTACAACGTTGTATACATATGTGGAACTGATGAGTATGGGACTGCCACTGAAACCAAGGCCATGGAAGAGAATTGTACTCCTCAACAGATTTGTGACAAGTAAGAGTTAGACTCTGGCCTGTTTGTTTGTTTGCTTGTTTGTTTTAGTCAAAGGCCATGGGATTGGAATAGTAATCCCATGGTTTTGGGACTATTCTTAATACCCTCCAAGGAGGGGGAGGTGGGCTGCGATTGGAGAATTAGAGGGGAAAAAAAACACGAAAACCAAAAAACTCAGTTTTCAAAAAACTTAATCTAGAAAATTCAAACCAAACACATTGAATAATTTTTAAAAATTTAAAAATATTTTTTTATTTTTTATTTTTGTCAAATTAGTTTATATTTTATCAAATTGATATTTTTGCCCTTAAAATTAAGTAATGGTATCCTCAATTGTCCTTATTTGAAACAAGATTCAAAATTTAGAGTCAAATGTGTCACAATTGAAAAGTCAATGACTAAAATGACATGAGCCCGAAAACTATAGGGACTGCTAGTATAATTTGCCCAAATATAAATTATTCATGAAAATTCCTTTGGTAGGTTCGGTTGGGTTGGGAGGTTAAAAGATTAAAATAGTCGTAAAAATATAAAATAAGTTAAAAAATTAATAAGATAAAATGTTATATCTAAATCATAATCATTTCACTTTTTTCTTATAAAAATTTAAAAAAAAAAGTCAAAAAATCTAATTCAAACGAAACTTTTTTG